ATGTGACCACCTTTCAGGACAAACTAGGAGAATATGGATTAGGGCAGTGTTGATCACTAAACATCTTTATTTGTTCCTTTTCTGATGGCCACATTGAACAAATCTTCTCTGTGGGTCACCATCTCTTATCTCTTTAATTGCCAATTGAGGACAGGAGGCTGAGCCTAACCTAAGAGCTGCTAGGGCAGGTTGAATCTCCCCTGGAAAAGTCACACAGTGCATGCTCTTAAAGAAAAGATTTTAGTTGTTTAGTAATAGAATGAATGAATGATGGTAGATGGGGAAAAAGCAAAGATCATAACTTCCCTTGTTTATTTTACTATTTCAGAATTATCTTCCAGAGCCACACTTTTCAAATGACAGGTCAAAGGTCCAATGAATGGTGCCCACTCTTTTTACCTTTTGAGACAGGGTCTCGATATGTACCCCAGAGTGGCCTTGAACTCAAGATTTTTCCCCATGGCCTCACAAGTGCTGGAGTCACAGACTTGTACCACCACTCTGGCTGATGCCCAACTTTTGTGTAGTGAATAATTCAAATAAAATTCTTAGTTACAAACAGACTATTCAATGACCCATAGTTACATAACAAAATAGATAATATAAAAATGAGGTAAGATAGTCACAGTCACAGACACAGAATGTTTGAGCTAGAGTATACATTAGAAAGCTAATATTCTAAATCCCCCAATTCAAACAGGAGGGAATAGAGATAGGGAGAAAGTGGCCCAACCAATTTAATTGGGATATTTATAGGTGCCTCTAGGGACTGCTGAATATTATGAAATAGGTAGAAATAAGTTTATTTATATTGTACTAACATAACAATTCCATTGTAAACAACATATCACTATCATTGTTAGGTTGTCATTATGTTGTTTTGGTAGAGCTCTAAATCAAGATGAACAGGGACAATGTTCCAAACAGTCACAACTTTCCATCATAGTAAACAAATCAGCAGGTGCACCAGCAATGATAGTTAAACCATCCTGTCACTCATAGCCAATTAGCTACATAATTGCAAACAATTAAGGGTACATAGATTAGTTCTTGAACCAATTCTTATTCCTTGACCTTACTTCAAAAGTACAAATTCCTTTAATGATTCTTTTTCTGAAATAATTGCATTTCTTTTCTTTGGCTTTCATAAAAAGATACTGTCATGGGGCTATAGAGATGGCTCAGTCAGTAAAGTAGCATTTTCTGCACAGGCATGAGGACCTGAGTTTGATGTCTAGCACTCACAGAAAATCCAGGCATTGTATTTTACAACTGTAATCCCAGTGCCAGAAGGCAGAGTCAGAGTGACCCCTGGGGATTTCTGGCTAGCCAATCTACCTGAATCAATGAGTTCTGAGTTCAGTGAAAAGTCCTGTCTCAAAGAACAAAACAAAACATCCAAAGAACAGGCAGAATGCCACTGAGGAAGACACTGATGTTGACCACTAGCCTCTACACACATGTACATGCATGTATCCACATATACATGTGCACACAAGAGAAACTGCCATGATAGAACTATTATTCTTTCTCTTAGAACCTCTTCAGTAACAGAATTCAGGATCTGCTATTGGTAGATTTGGTAACTGTGTTCAGAAACAGAATGCCAATAATAACATAATTAATTGGTTGCAAAAAAGAATGAAATATTCCAATTTGCTTTAAGAACATGTCATTTCAATAGTGAGACTAAACAGACATAATGAAGTAGTTTTGATGAATTGGAAACCTTTGTCTCTGATACATGTTTATTGCATTTTTAAAGTTTTGGTTTTTTAATTCATTTTTGTAGAAGAAAATATGTACATACAATTGCTATAGAAAAGTGAGAAATGTGTTCCCTGAAGATTTCCATGCCTTTAAAAATGATGTTCAGATGATTTTTAATTACTACAAGAGCATTGAGATGTCAATGTACTTTACAAGACAGTCAGGGGGCTATTCCAGCCATGCTTTTCTTCAGTCAATTTCAACTCTAAGAAAATTATTTCTTTTGATCCACTCTGATAGCATGTAATAAAAGAACAATAAAACATATGGCTCAATTACCACTGCTTCTCATCAAGCATGAATGAATGAATATCAAATTATTATTAATTGTTTTTTTTCTGGCTCCCTCTCCATAGCACAATTAGGCATTGCTATATTTTGATAAGCACTTGTGTTTAACACTTTGTGGGCCAGTCTCTAAGAGGAACAGATGCACAAAATTCTTATACAGGAGGATAATTATTTGATTTTATCATCATCTAAAAACAATACAGTTATGTGTTAATCTCCCAAGTTTTCTCACAGCTACTTAAAACCGCCCTAGAACTCTACCCCCCTACCCTACAGTAAATTTCCAACAGTTGCTCTATGTCTATAAAGTGCTTTGCATGTTCAATTTGTCGATGTTAATATTTATTTCTCATATGATTATTGAATTTTCAATTCATTTACAAAAGAGCTCTTTTAAAATAAAAGCTGAATTTTAAGCAGTTAATAAGTTAACCATCATAGCATAGAACATAATAACATGATCGATATAAATTGAAAAAAAGTTCAATGTTGGTGGCTGATAGACATTCCATAGAAGCACACCGAGTAACTGATCATTTTATTTATTTTTATAAGCCTTCTGTAAATATAAAGTGCTATGCAATATGAATATATAATGTTTAATCTAGAACTATTATTTCTCAACTTATCTGTACACCCAGATTTTGAAATGCATACAAAGAAAATTTAACAAATTATGGATGTCATATGATTTTACCTATCACCTTATAAATCTATTTCTTTTATTTTTAAATAATAGTCTAAAAAACTAAGCCTATGAGAAACTGAAGGATGTCACTAAGGTGAAATAGTTCATATGCCCTAATATGGTTAACAAGTATATATACCAATATGTTTCTAAACAGTAAACCCAAGCTTCTTTTATAATCAGAGAACTAGAGACTCAAAAACAGACCTTAGAAATCATTTTGTCCAATGCCTTTGATGTCACAGATAATGTCATAGAAGTCTGGAAATTTTAAGTAGTTTTCTAAGGTCATGAAACTTTTAATATTGACACTGTTCTACAAAACATTATAAAAATTTCTATCCATATTTCTTTTGTACCAAAAGGAAGTTTAGTCTTTCCTTGGCCTACTTTTCAGGATAACAATAACGCTCTGAATCAAAAGTCTGAAGGGAATGTAGGTGAGAAGATGAGAAATTTGACTATAAGGAATTCATGATGCCCAGCCACACATATACTAGGGACTGCCTGGCCAGGGCTGACAGCACTCATTGATGTTGGGGGAATTATTTCTTTGACATTGGTAACTGGAACCATGTGGATTTTTACCACTAAGTCTTGTCAGATACCAGATGGTTCTTTTCATGTATGTGATCTTATTCTAAGAAATTAGATTATTTATGCAATAACAAAATTGTTATTTTGATACAAGTGATGATCTTCAGTGTAAAAGCGTTTCTAGATTACATAGTCTTAAAATGTAACTTTAAATTCTTTAATGAATGCTTTTCATCTTGATTTCCACGTGTCAGCATTACTGAATCCACTTCGCTGAAAAATTTAAAAACACAGTTAGATATACAAATTCAATATGAAAATAAGCCCACAGTTAAAATTTGAAAAACAATCATCCATGCAGAGCACGGTACTGGATTAAGATCCCACTTCTTTCTAGTCCTGAATACATATATGTAACTTCTGGTCATACATGAAGTACCACAGGCCAGGTATGCATGTTTATGAAATTAGTGAGAATCATATCTTGTCAAATTATTAGCATGATTTAAAAAAAGCAATACTATGCAATGCACACAGGCAGAGGGGGAGACTTCTGAGTCTTTGGTAAGTGCACCCATATGTCCTCTGTGTCATAGATTCCTGGGAGACTGAAAGTTTTAGAGCCACCCCATGCACATCACGAACGATGATATAATATTAGATTGGTTAGGGCTGCAAAAAGTGAATATGAAGTTTCAAACTTAGAAATGTGAGCACGAGAATTGCCAGGGCAGTGTGGGAATAGAAGGCGTGCAGGAGTGCACCTAGGCTTATTCTTGCAATGATTCCAAAGCCGGGTGTGCTGTGGGTTTCTGAATATTTTTCCGAGATTTTTCCAGAGGTAGCTGCTCAGTAGTGCAATAACCTCACACATGTCATTAACTTCTGTAGGATCTCAAGTGGAAATCCCCAAGGGTCGGCTTTCATGACTACACCAAGACCACAGACATACGCCTTTTACACATGCTTCTGACCTCCTCTATAACAGTTCAGTTCTTTTTTTTCTACTTACCAGCGTGAATCTAAAAATAAACCATAGGTACTCTCTTTTAACAATCAATAAAATTATATAGGGCTTTATTTTGCAGACTTAGACTGTGCACTATGCATGTTTTAACTAGGGTTTAAATTTTTCATGCTTAGTTAAAAATATATGTCCATAATATTTCCTCTCTCCTTACTGATGTTAATTAAGAGCCTAAAATTATAGTAACATTTGGTCTTGTGTTGTTAAAAAAACCTCAAAAGCTTTGATGTTATGAAGGACATAGAATTGTATAAAATTAACCCCTATTTATTTCAGGGAAAAAAGTAATATTAAAAGGCATTTATTGTAATAACCAAATTAAGTTTAAAAGTATTATGCAAGTGTACATACAAAAGGTCGCTAACAGAAATGGACTTCAACTTAAATAACAATTTAATCAGAAAAAAATTGTTTCAAAAAATGGAAAATTTTCTAGAACAAATGGCCTTTCTAGTTGCATCTGTATCCTTACTGATATCAAAAGACAATATAAAAAGCAAAAAAGACAATATAAATATTGATTGATTTATACCATTAAAGAAAATATTATAACAGTTTAACCAACTACCGCTTACTTTTTCTTTGATTATAATTATTTTTCTTTATTGAAATGCATCATTTTCAGCAACATTAAATAGTCACCAGTGTTAGTAAAAGTGATTGCTGCCCACAGAACATAACACTTACCCATCACTTTAGAGTAGCAGGGTTCACAGTGTATTGTCTGTCTATAAATCCAAATGCTGTCACCTGCTTGTAGGTTTTCCAAAGGCTGTTTGCATATTTCACACTGAAGAACAATATATATCAAGTTTCTATTATAAATTGACCCTGTATTCTCAAGGGAATGGTGAAAGCAAAGCCTTCTAAATCTGTCTTCCTTAGGAAATCTCAGACAGAGCCTCAAGAGAAACCCCTAGGGAAACTAAGAATGTAATTGTCTATCCTCGCATACCAAACTTTTCAAATAAATTTCCACAGCATCTGTCTACCACACAGGTACAATGTAGGGCATCTCTGCCACAGAAGTTTTCTACTTAACTTACAATGGAGAAGATAAAATTTTTCACAAATTGGTTACGCCAAGGACAGGACAACAACTCAATGTTTCAAACAAAAACACAGACTTGAATTTATCATTTGCTTCCACAAGGGAGAGCTGTGCTGTCCAGGCGCTACCTATTGAGTCAAACAAATTGCTGATCACACAAGGTTTAGAAGGGAAGTTGTTCTGAGTTACACTAGTGACAGAGCAGGGGAGGGTCAGACTCCGTTTTAGACCTGTCTGCTGCTGACTGGCCGACTTCCAAATATGAGGTAGTCACTCGTTAGCTCTTAGAATGAATTCACTAAGCAAACTGTTCTTGATCTATACGATATATTTAAACCAGTTTAAGTGATTCTCTGTTACCATGACTGTAGAACAATCTGTCTTTTTCTATGAACACAGGGAACATTTTTAATCTGTTATATTCTCTAATTACAATGAAAATGTAAATGAATCTTTTAAATGCAATAAATGAAAATTAGTCCTATTTACTAAAAGCAACAAGGAAATTTTCTTATTCTATAAGGTATTATGTATAATAATTTTAAATAAAGAGATATATTCTTTTATTTAATTGGCATATTTCACAACTAGAAGTGATTTCATGTTATACTCAAAGTTATTAAATTTTCAAAATTATATTTTTATAGTCTTATGTTGAATGTGTAGGTTTTTGTTTTGGTTTTGGTTTTTACATTTATTTATTTATTCATTTATTTGTTTATTTATTATTTGGAGAATGCATGCATGCCATGGGACTCATGTGGTGGGCAGATGACAACTTGTAGGAGTCAGTTCTCTGTTTTCACCACGTGGCTTCTAGGTATCAAGCTCAGGTTGCCAGGCTTGGCAGCAGGTGCCTTTACCCACTGAGCCATCTTGCCAGCCCCATGTGTGGTTTTATATTCAAAATAATGCACCATATTTCTGATTGCTATGTGTCGCCATCTAAAGGTAATTGGTGGATAAACCGTCAACTGACAAAATCGTACAGCTACTTGACTGAATTGAAATAATTTGCATCAACCACAGAATGCCAGCACCAGAAAAGACCCAGTTGGAGCAAGTCATTCTCAAATTGGATGCATATTAGGTCCAAGCTAAAGAGCTTTAAAAATATCAATCTCCAAGAATAATCTCTGAATTCTTGGATTAAATGGGGCTGCCTGAGTACTCTAGTTTTTTCCCTTAATTAATCTAGATGATTATAATGTGCATCCAGAGTTGAGACCCACAGCCTGGTCAGCTACCTCATTTTAGAGGTAAAGAAACTGAAGCCATTGTTGTTGAAGTGACTGTCCAAAGTCACATAGTCTTAGTGGCAGAAATAGAATTCAGATTTTCAGATACCCCGCATTCATGCAAGAGCTATGTTCACCAACACAGCATTACCATGAAAATGAAATGAAATAACTGATGAAATCCAAATTTTGAAGCATTTTGCTATTGAACATCTCCTGCTATTTATTAAGCACAATTAACCATGGCCTTAAAAGCTGAGTTTTAACTATGGTGAAACCTGAGTCCTGATTCCATGATGGAAAGAGCTGCTAGCTTTCTTCTCAACAGTCTATTTTCCAGCCATGACTTCACCACACATTTGAGGTCATATGTTATTTGTTAAAATGTTACAAAAAAAATTAAGAAAGAACAGCTTTATCTTTTACGCAGACTTAAATCTCCAGGGTAAGACTGATTAGATGTGTCAGTAGCACATTGGTAATGTGGATTATAGAGCATTTAAAGCTTTTACCTCACTCTATGTATTTTTTTCACTCTATTATTTTAATAAATGCATTTTCTTGTCACCATACAACCTTACAGTAGGTAAAATAAATACATGCTTACCTTAAAGCAAGTAGAGTGGCAACAAATTTGTAATTCATCTAAAATCATTTTGGTTTCTACCCCCAAGGGCTTGCGGCAGTAAGTGCACATATCTCTTTCGATGACAGACCTATGGTGACATAACCAGTTAAAAACAATTTAAAATTAGCCACCATGTAAGGACAGGTGTATTTCCTGTAAATCCACATGGAGATGTTAGTTTTGATGATGCATTCAGAATTGCACTAGCATCAAGGGAAGCACAGAGCTTACGTATCATAGTAACTGGATTGATTCTCTAGCTACCCCCAAATGATATCAAAGAACGAACAAGTGGGGCCATCTCAGAGTATGACTTCATCAACAACCAAGAGTTCATCTATCAGGACAACGATGGCCAGTTTCCCAGCCAAACTAGGTCAAACGTACTTCTTGAAGTTGGAAGAGGGTTTTAATTATTAATTTACATTTATCACTTTGTAGATTATATGGGAAAATCATGCTACAGATTAATGTAAAGTTTTGACAAGAAAAACATTCAACAATCTCCAAATAGAAATCCATTCAAGAGTATGTTCATAAACTCACAATTGGTGAATCTGTAGGATCAAAGTCAGTTAACAGTCCTCTTGGTGTCATGGTAAGATTTAGGATACAGGGACATGATCATGACAAAATTTATTCTCTAAAGGAAGATAAGACCCTGCCACAAATTTGATGAGGGAAAAACTTATTTTTTCTTTATTTATTTTGGAAGCAATATCTGACAATAAATGAACTACAGATATGATCAGCAGAGTAAAAAAGAAAACCCTTAGATCATGTTAGAACCTAAAGAACAGATCTTTTTCTTCATGAAAGGTCTTAGGGTCATCTTAACAGTGCCCAGTAGAGTTTATTGGTTTTGAGGCATTAGCATACAGGCCTGAAGTTTCCAGTGCAGTATTCACAATAGGGTGGTGAAGAAGAAATAGTCAACACTCGGATAGTACATGAGGTATACAGAATATTTCCCGTGCATTTTACTTATTAAAACTCAGTTATTTCACACATCCTGAGAAATCCATCCTGTTATCTCTGGGTCATTTGTGGAAAAGGAAGCAGGAGCACCTAAGAGTGAGTGAGCTGCTGCTGTCATGCAGCCAGGGGGTGGGTCTGAATGGAGGCAGCATGCTCCAGAGTCCTTAGCCTGCGTGTGAGGCCTACTGGGCCTGCTGAGTTGAGATGAGCTACTCATGCCCAGGCACTGTTCTACCATTAAGAGTACAAACAGAGAGAAGGGAGCATACGGAGAAGAGAAAGTGAAAGAGGAAAGGGATGGTTGTGGATAAACCTTGTCTGCTTTTATGTTTTCAGTCACTCAAGGAATTTCTTCCTAATCACTATACACACACACACACACACACACACACACACACACACACACCCCAATTCTCTACTTGTATATAGATACCTGGCAAATATTTCCCTGTGGATTGTCCATATGTAAACATACGGATGGATGGATGTACTAAAACTCCCCATTTAAGACTACAAGCACTTCAAGAGCAGAAACTAGGATCTCTATAGCATCATTCCATTCCACAGGCACCAAACCAGAAATACAAAGAAAGGAGAGATGGCCTCTTCAGATGAGACACTCTTTGCTGGGAAAGTTGTAGAAATGGAATAGCATTAGAGAAATGCTTGTTTCAGCCATCTTTTCCTTAGCAAGTGGGACATGGGTTCGTATTTTTAAAGTTCATTTACTGCGTGCCTGTTAGTCTTAAGCACTCTGTTAGAAGCTGTGTCTACACCTGAAAACAAGATACGTCCTCACTCGCAGTCAGTCATTTTCCCAGCACCTGCTACAGAGAAACACTGCCAGTGGAAGATCAGACACATGCATTTCAGCTTGTTTCTAGAGCTTGGGTTAAAATGTGAATGATTTTCATCTACTCCCCTGGAAACCTACAGGTCACTGTTTCCTGAGTATCACTTCATGGCACATGAAGCAGTAAAGGTCAATAGCAGAAAAAGCCTGGAGTGGGTCCAGGTCACCGGCACTAAATGCATATTAATCCTAACCCCATTCCTAGGAACTGAGCGGGGGTTGGTCAGACCAGCATACCCACACAGTTACCTTTAGAAAGCCACAAGAAGAAAGGACTTAGGACAGCTTAATGATGCAGTAAAGCCTAGGTGCTCTTAATGTTGCAGGCTGGGGACTCCTGGGAATTGCCAAAAGCAATAGGGCTGACCAGGGAGGCAGCTTAGAAGGCATGGAAAGGACTTCTAGAATAATGTGCATCAAAATCAGACAGAAACTAGGAAGCAGATTCCTGTATATGGAACTGTGCTCTCTCTACATGCACATTCCTGACAGGTTCCTAACTGTTCACAATCAGAATCATCTCCAGAACAAAAGACAATGAGAATTAGAGATACATAATGAATATACATGCACATAAAAGTGTATATATGTTTGTGTGGACACTTTGTGTTTGTAAATGGAAATATAAGTATACTCACCTATCTGAAGTTGAATAAACAGTTTGTATATATTTTCCTGAAATATTTTCTTGATAGCCATCCTTTGGTGATTTACTAAAAATGAACATATAGAGACACGGGAGAATCAGTTTGCTTTTCCTACTATTGATAAAATTACCCACACACAGGAAAGAAAACACATATTCCCTCACATACTATTATTATAGTTATTTAGGATATTTCAAGTCAGGATGATGTCCTTACACCTTTCTTTTTTCTAATCAATAGAAGTAATGATGCAAACCCCCCAACAATGAGTTGACATATCACCAAAGAATATAATGAAAAACATATTAACAAGCATTAAGCAGCAAAGACATCATTGTTTCTCATAAATAGTAGACTTCTACCTCACTGATTTACTAAAATAGAGCTACCTGAGCATGGCAGTACAGACCTGCAATCCCACCTGTCTAAGAGGAGAAATCAGGAAGATCATAGGTTAAAGGCCTGCCCGAACTCAGAGTTCAAGATCAACCTAGGCAAGCTAGCAAGATCCTGTCTCAAAACAAAAAGTTTAAAAAGAGAGCTGGAAAGACAGTTCAGTGGTAGAGAATTTGCCTAGTGTATGTAAGGCCTTAAGCTCGATTTTCAGCATTGCAAAATAAATTAATTAATTTATTAAACAAAGTTATATGCGGGGCTGGAGAGATGGCTCAGCAGTTAAGAACACTAACTGTGCTCCCAGAGGACCTTGGTTCAGTTCCCAGAATCCACATGACAGCTAACAACTGTCTGTAACTCCAGTTCCAGGGTATTCGGCTCCCTCTTCTGGCCTCTGCAGGCTTTTCATGACACAGGTGCACTTAGACATATGCAGGCAATACACTCATACACATAAAATTAAAAAATAATGTTTTAAAAAGCTATATGTCACAGATCTAG